CGAGCGTCTCCTCCTCCCCCAGCCCCGCAGGGCCCCTTGTGCAGAGCAAGGCTAGCGCTGTACGAGCGGGGTGAGGCGCAGCGCCCTGCTCTTCCCCAGCCCTGGCTAAGTGCAGCGAGCGAGACAGCCCCAGCCTCTGCACCCTCCACGGTGAGTCCTGGGCATAACAGTCAAGAAGGATCCAGCTATATTCAAAAATTAGAACTGAAGGAGGAAAGATTTCCTTTCTGTAACGAGCTGTGTCAGCTAAGTGACATGCCTTATATGAGCTGAGTACCTGTATGTGTGTGGAGACAAGGTGGGAGGGATGTAACATCGTTTACTGGACCAACTTCTGCTGGTGAAAGAGACAAGCTTTCTGGCGCCACAGGGCTCTTAAGTATAATGTGTTAAAGGTAGAGGGGAGTGTGACTCTGCAACCCATATTCTTCGTGGTGTTATTATGATATAATCATAATGCATATTATGCAAGATACGTCATAGGAGATGTCATTGGAAAGGTTATGATTTACTGAATATGATTATCCTATTTGTATGCATGTATCATTTTTGTATCTGAAGTTAGGAATATTGACTATATATCTGTATTACAAATGTGTTTACACCTTTGCGTATGACCACTAGGCAAAAGGACCTCAGTCTGGGGTGGGCAAGCCCCCAACCCCACTCCCCAGCGGGAATGCTGGACAGGCAGAGCGGCACAAGCCCCTGACCCCGGTCCCTGGCAGGATCTCGAGGGCCAGATACATACATCTGATGGGCCAGAAGCGGACCGCAGGCCGTAGTTTGCCCACCCCTGGTCTAGATGGCTGGCAGGAAGGGCCCATTCAGGTTGTGACACTACAGGGACATGTGACCAGGTCACGTGGTACTGGTCTCCATCTTGGGATATCAGGTTTTTTCCACTTGACTGGTGTGGGAACCAAGCTTTGAAACAAAGGGTTCCCGCCCTATGCAAAAGCTATGTAAGGCAGGGGAGTGACATCAATGTGCTTCTTCACTGACTCCACACCCAAAGAGACTCCTGGAAACACCTGAGAAACAAAGACTGAACTGGGGGAAGTGCTGGACCCAAGCTAAAGGGATTTTTAGCCTGTGAATGGAACATCTGGGGATTCTAAGCTGTAAGCAAGTGCAGCTTGCCCCTTAAGAATCTGCAGCCTGGTTGTCTCATCACTTAGGGTGAGGATTTGCTATTCATATCCTATCTATGTAGTAAATTAAGCTTAGTTTGCATATTTTGTTTATTTGCTAGGTAATCTGCTTTGATCTGTTTGCTATCACTTATAATCACTTAAAATCTGTCTTTTGCAGTAATAAACTTGTTTTTGCTTTTGTCTAAAACCAGTGTATGGGAGTCATAACTTGGGACAGAAAGCTTTTGTATATTTCTCTCCACATTGAGAGAGAGGGTGAATTTCATGAGCTGAAGCTGTACAGTTCCCTGTGCAGCGCAAGACAGTATAACTTTGGGTTTACACGTCGGGGGGGGGGGGAAGGAGGGTTGCCTGAGTAGCTGGGAAGTTCCTTAGCTGGAGCTCTCCCATGCAGAGCTGATCACCGTGTCCGCATGTAACTGCAGTTGGGTGTGTCCCTACCTGTATGTGTGCTGGTGAAAGTGTAAGCTGGTTCCAGCAGAACAGTGTAAAGGGAGCCCAGACTAGTGGGTCGGGGGTCTCAGTGGTACCGCAGTTCCAGGTGGCACCCCGTGGGGAATACATCACAGAGATTATTAGGTAAATAAGAGTAATGCCCTTTGTTTCTTATTTTGTATCACGACTAAACACTGCAGGATAGTGGGGGAGGGGGACTGGGACTGGAAAGTCTTTATATCACCAGATTCCTCTATCCACTACAATCTCCTAATTCAGAGGCAGGATAATGCCTTTGAATCACCCAATTGTTTGTCCTAAATTTTATTTTCAACTTTTCTTTTTCTTGTGCTTTTTATTAAGGAAGAGACTCTAAAAGCAGGTTGGGTGAGCAGGGTGGGGGGGAGGTTGTTTGTGTGGTTTTGGACCAGAAAAATCAACCAGAACATTGATACCTTTTGATCACTTGGGAAACATTTTTTAAGAAACAGAAAACCTCCAACTTGCTGCATACTACTAAATTCAGTCTAAAAATATTGAACTTAAGAACATAACATAAGAACATAAGAAAGGCCGTACCGGGTCAGACCAAAGGTCCATCTAGCCCAGTATCCGGTCTGCCGACAGTGACCAATACCAGGTGCCCCAGAGGGAGTGAACCTAACAGGAAATGATCAAGTGATCTCTCTCCTGCCATCCATCTCCACCTTCTGACAGACAGAGGCTAGGGACACCATTCCTTACCCGTCCTGGCTAATAGCCATTAATGGACTTAACCACCATGAATTTATCCAGTTCTCTTTTAAACTCTGTTATAGTCCTAGCCTTCACAATGTCCTCAGGTAAGGAGTTCCACAAGTTGACTGTGCGCTGCGTGAAGAAGAATATGTAATGATTGACAGATTTTTCATTGATACAGCACTTTTCATACAAAAATGGACATGTTTTTATCCCCATTTTATAGATGGGGAAATTGAAATCATGCAATGAACTTGCCCAATACCACACAATGAGCAAGTACTAGACTCAGAACTAGAACCCAGGTATCCTGACTTCCCCGTCCTGTACTCTAACCAGTAGTTCCCATACCCTCAAAGATATTTAGGTGCCCATCTTCATTTGAAATCACTGAAATCATGTAAATAACCTTTGAGGCTCTGGATTTAGACCTCTCTTGATCTTAATTAATTGAAGATATGTTGCAGCTAGGCCTTCGGTACTGGAATAGGTTTCTCACAATTTAAACTCACAGATCCATTGTCATCTGGAATTCTGCAGTGAGGCTCCCATTTCACATCCAATATATAATTTGTACACAGCATTGGGAACCACTGAACGTGGGTGATATGCTTAGCACTTGCAGCAACTGATCACAATTTTTTATATATGCATATATTTTAAAAGGAAAATTCAGGCATTATGTGAACTCACAAGACAGCTATCACATCTCCCAGAGTGGATGGCAGAGACCGGTAGGTTGAAAACGTCAGACTTAGGAAACTCAAGTGCACACTGCTTTCCTGAATAAATTACTTAATCTATTATAGTTTATGCAAAATATAATCTTTCCAATTGTGAAATTGTGCTTTTTAGTGATTTATTATTTCCTGCCTTAGCAAATTAATGATAATACTAAAGGCTTACATTGCTTTGAAAATAAAAAAAAGCTATTACAAGAACAGGTAATTCGTTTAACGTAGAAATAATATAAATAGTTCAAGTTGCACTTAAAAAACAAACAAACAATGTTGTTGATATGGAGTTGTGTAGAAATGACCTCATTTTGCATGGCCAGGTGATTGGGGAGGGATCAAGTGACCTAGATGTGGAGAAAACCTTACATCTGTTTGCTTCTTTTAGAGCAGTGCTCAAATTGGGGGGAAGAGGGGAAAGGTGTTAGATGGGAATATGTCATACTGCCACTGCTACTGCTGAAAACTGCAGCATAGCAGTAGAGCATGTATTGCCTTTTTTTTTGTTCCACCCACATCTGTTTCCAGTTCTTACATGATTAATGTTGGTTGATGCTTGCTTAGGTGAAAAGACCAGTTTTTCCTATTTCAACCACAAGTAGGATGAATCTGCTTCTTGTTAATGGCAACACCAATAGCTGCCCAAGCCTGCAGACATGAGGCCCTTGCATCATGGAGACTGACCACACATAGGAAAAGTAGAAATGCTAGCATGAGATTTGCTACCTGTGATGTGGGATATAGGGGTGTAGAACTGATTTGTGCTCAGAGAGGTCTCTGTGATGATGATACTTTAGCCCCCTGGGATATCAGGATTTCTTTCTTTGTATTTTAGCACTAGTTGGGGCACAACACAGATTCTATCCACAGTTAGCCCCCACCCAGCCAAGCATGTGCTCCTGTTCTAACCATATCACAGATCCTCCCCTACCTATCCCCTCACTCCTTGTGGAACTAAACCCACCAGAAGACATGGCTCAAGATTTGGGGGCAATTTAAAGACTTGATAGGGAGCCTCAGATTTGTTTCAACCACCCCCAGAGATACTGACCCAATATTTCCTCCAACTGCTCTATTCATCATGTAAGAAACATGAAATGATTTTCAGTTTGATAAGTCTAAAATGAATTGTGCAGAAACCATCAAGTCCACTTATAAAATTGATGACAGATTCACAGTGCTGAAAGTAGGACTTGGGGGAAAGGAAATGGGAATCTGGAGCTATATGTGCTTGTAACTGTATCATCAGATTGATGGCCTGTTGGTCACAGTATCACATTATCAAGAGTAATGATCAAGTTACAAATGTAATAATTACAGAGCTGTCAGATGGGGCCAGTGAAGCAAAGGACTCAATCATTAACAGTAATGTGTTTTGTTTGTTTAAAACAATAATACAAAATGTGTTTTAAAGGAGCTGACTTCACCTCAAATCTTGTTTTGGTGTTTACACCTAAAGGAGGGAGCATTGGCTACTTGTTGGAGAATAAAACTGTGACTTCTGAGTTTTGTCCTTGTCTCTGACCTTGGGTATATCACTTAGGCACAAATTTTCAAAAGTGGCCACTAATTTTGAGTCTCTCAATTTGCTCCAGTGGAGCTTCCTCCTTGCAAGTTGGGAATCTTCTAGGAGGCTCCTGGGCAGATTCTCAGCTGGTGTAAATTATCATGGATCTGCCCCGCCATCTTTGCCATGCTATTATTATTACAACATTTGCAGTAGCAAAACATAGTCAGATTATTATCAAGGGATTGCTCAGAGATCTTTGCATCAGCTTGAGAACAGACTTTTTGAATGCTGTTTTTGAATGCTGAAGCCTTTATACATTCAAGTTTGTATTATTAATTTTTCCTGATAATGTTCAATATATTTCTATGGTACTTAAAAATACTGTGGTATTTAACAATATTTGCTTAACGATAAGCAACCTCCATGATAGCTAATTTAATACCTGTGAATTCAGCATATTCTAATTGCGTGGTTACACCTACAGCTAGAGTGTTTGCTTTATGTTGCCAAGATAATGATCTCGGTCCTGTGAGGACTGGATGTTTATAAAAAAATCTCTTTAAGGAGATATGATGCTGCAATAGTTAGAGCACAGAACTGAGTCAAGAAATCTTCATTATTATATTTCCAAATTTGCTAGACACAGGCTTTCATAATCTTGAGCAGTCTTCTCATTTTAACCTTTTTTCACTTGTTCCTTCATATATATAAACTGAGGATAGTAGCCAGGCGTTTTAAAAACTTATTTAGATGCCTGAAAATGTGGCCTGATTTTCAAAAGTGTTTAGCCCCCAGCAGCATCCATAGTGGAACACTTTTAAAAATCGTTTAAGCATCTAAATATGGCTATAGGAGCCTAATTTTAAGCACCCACTTTTTTAAATCTTGGCCATAGACCGTGTTTAGAAATAAAAATATAATAGGGAATTACCACAGCTAACATAACATCATGAATGTTCAGGATTCTTTGATATTACAAAAAAAAAAAAAATACAGACCCAGATCCGCAAAACCTTGAAATCAGTGGAAGTTAGGAGCCTAAATACCTTTGTGGATCTGGGCCAAAGCATCCAGTGTATACATTTTGTGGGTGTGCACACACATACACATCTGTCGATTGACACTCTGCCCACAATGCTGATGTTCAGTCTGGGAATACATTCAATCGAATTCCTCCTTCAGCAGTTTCCTAGGCAACCAACACAACCTCAGAAACAGCCTGAGTATGGAAATTGCTGCAGCATAAACAAGGACCAAATATCTGGCCATGGTTTTAATCTCACTGAGGTACACACAGAGGACAGACTACATAACTCACTTGAGACTTTTCCTATTGGAATCCTCATGATTAGGGCCATACCAAGTTCACGGTCCATTTTGGTCACTTTCATGGTCATAGGATTTTTAAAATAGTACATTTCATTATTGCAGATATTTAAATCTGAAATTTCCCAGTGTTGTAATTTTAGGGGTCCTGACCCATAAAGGAGTTGTGGGGGAGGAGCGTTGCAAGGTTATTATAGGGAGGTTGCAGTAATGCTACCCTTACTTCTGCGCTGCTGCTGGCTACAGCGCTGCCTTCAAAGCTGGGCAGCTGGAGAGTGGTGGCTGCTGGCCGGGAGCCCAGCTCTGAAGGCAGAACTGCCACCACCAGAAGCACCAAAGTAAGGATGGCATGGTATGGTATTACCACCCTTACTTCTCTGCTGCTGCTGGCAGGGCGCTGCCTTCAGAGCTGGGTGCCCACCTAACAGCCGCCACTCTCCAGAC